CCCCCCCCCCCCCGACAATCTTTCTGTATCCCGCCTTCCGTAGCTAGTTAGCCCTCCGTCAATACCCCGTGGTCTCCAATCCCGTGGGTCACTTACTCCAGGGGTGTATGTGTTTTTCCCGTCAGTTGGCAAGCGTTTCCGCGTTTTTTTTCCATCCCTTTCCCACATCCTCATTCATATTCCTTTCGTCCCGTTTCCTTCCCGCGTTGTGACTCCCGCCCCATCTCTCGTTCGGCATTTCCTTAACGCGGTTTTTGCGTCCTTTGCGCGTTGTGTCCGCGGCATTTGTTTTGGCTTCGGTGGAGAGAAGTTCGACCACCACTGCCCATGGACAGGAAAGGTAACAAATAAACAGGCTGTTTTGTTGTCGCTGACTTTTGTCGAGCTGTTTCCCGCGTAACTACAGTTTTGCCACCACCCCAGATGGCATGGTTGGCGCCGATTTTTTTTTTTTCTGGAGTCGTACGGGGTGTTTTTATCGATTGCTCGTGCTCGTGCATTCGTTCGTTCGTCCGCCTATTGTTTTCGACCGTGGCACATACTAGGTGTCTCCCGTGGAGGAACTTTTTTTCTCTTTGCATGCCCGGCTCTCCATTTACTGGGTGGTTCATCTCTCTCTCTCACACACACACATTCTATTCTTCCGCTCCTCCCGCCGTTTGCGTGGCTCCTTGTCTCTTATCTTTTGTTTCGGTCCGTCGCTCCTTTTCAGTGCATCGGAGAGAAGAACATTAGATTTTTCTATCTCTTCCTTGGCTGCCTGTTTTTGCACGTGTTTGTTGTTGGCGCGCTGGCCCTGATGCCATCGGTCAAGCAGGCGCTGTGAGAAATCGACGGGTGCGTGTTTGGGAGAGGCAGCATCGTTTTCTCTTGTGCTTTTTTTTTTTTTTCTTTCCAGGCGTGTGTAACTGCGGTGAACGTATGTCGTCTTTAATTCTTGTCGTCATGGCCCCTTGCTTTCGCTAGAGGACCCTCGGAAGCAGGCAGCGAAACGATGGTTGTTGGAAGACTTGTCCCCTGTAGCCTATTCCTGTATCGAAGAGCATGTTGATGGTACTCTTATTCTGTTTTATTGCCTTTCGGCCCTCGTGTTTGTTGTGATGAAGATGCTTGTCGTGTGTTAGTTTCTATTTTTTAGCCGGAGGACCCTCTGAAGCAGGCAGCGATCTGCTTTGGGCTACGGTTACTCTCGTGTGGTCCTTGTTGCCTTCTTGTGCTGTGTGGTTTACAGAACGTTGGTACGGTGAGATCGCGGTGCCCCACCGCACCACCTCCGTTCGGGTATTGAAGCTGGACGGCATGACAGACTATGAGTGAAACATGGCGTTACGGGGATAGGGGTTGCTTTTTTTTCTCGGAGGTTGCGCTGCTTCCGAGACGCATTCCGAACTTGCCGCTCTGTTTTTGTATCTTTGTTACGGACTTCTTTTGTATTTGTTTACCCCATGTTTGTGCACACCTGCGATGTAGCGTCGCTGCGTGGGGTGGGGGTAGACCGACAGAGACACTGCTTGGGAGCGGCTCTTGCAGGTATTTCGGCACTACCGATTTTCCAAGGCCGTTTTTTTTTTTCCGCTCAGCTTCTCGAAGGGACCAAAATTGTCTCGTAACCGAAATTGTGTTGTGTCACGCTGGCTGAAGCTGCGTCGCGTAGCGCCGCCTGAGATTCTTAGCACCTTGTACGCGCGTGACAAGATTAGTTTCATTCCAGTGAAACAGCAGTTTCATTTTTGTGCATTATTTGTTTGTCAAAACAGTGTAGTAGGCGATTTATTTGTTGAACCAGTGTGTAGAAGGAGAGAGGCCTGCACTGCTGTTGTTGATTAAGGACGTGGCGTCATCTCGTGATTTTGATTTTACCGGTTTGTTAGAGTGGTCCTTGGTCTGTTGCAACAAGTGTACTTTTCTGTGTGCACCTCTTTTTTCTTGGTTTGAAGCAGCTCCTAAAAGGCTAATTGTTTTGTTTGCGGGTGCCCCGTTCGATTTCGCTTCTCACTTTTGTCGTAGTGCTTGCTACCGGGATATGGAAATTGGAGAAGAAGTGACTCTCGGAGCAATAAATCTTCAGCACGCGCGTGTTTGGCCCGTGTCTTAAACGATGTTTCTGTCACCATGAAATTGTGTCCACAGCAGTTGTTGTTGTTGTTGTCTTCACATAAAAACCGTTCCGATCTCTCTCTACCCAGTACCTTGGTATGTCCGTACTGATCCAACACTCGGCGCGGTCGATTCCCGTGGTCGCAGGCTAACTTAACCTAGCAAGGTACACTCAAATAAATGGCCCCACGGGGTCGGCAAGTCAATAGGCATACATACCCAAAGAGACGAACAGAGGTCGAACAGGGTAGTATTCCCAGAGGGACAACGCGGCTCAGAAACGTACACTCTCGAGCTCTCAAGCTGTGTGTGCTGCGCGCTCGTCGCCACGCAATCGACTTCAACGTTCCCGCGTTGCTGCAGTGTTGCTTTCGTCGACCAACTCGTGTATGAGTTGGCTCTTCAGCTGCGAAGTTCACTACTGGTACTTTTTTTCTGCGCTACTGGCGCGAGGCAGAGGTGCCCTGACTGCTTTGCTGTCGAAGACAAAAAAAAACAAGGATGGAGCCCCTGACTGAGGATTTCAGTTCTTGTCTGAGAATTTCATTTCCTTGTGCGACTGACAAACTCGTCATTAGTTTTGGTGTGGAGTGGGCCATTCCTTTTGATTGCCTTACAACGTGTTGTGTCCCCTCTTCACCGAGCGACGTTCTCCAGGTTTCTCGGTACGATATTCGAGCTACTGCAAGCAGGGTTAGTCTAGCTGCTGCAAGCAGGATTATAAAATCAGGCTTGTAAAGGTTGGTGCCTGAGCAAAGTGCCGGATTCCGAGGAAACCTCGCGCCTCCTTCGGAATGTAGAGGTTGCCTTCGGCTGGAGGGGGCGACGCGGCACACGGTACTACATACGATTCTTCTATGGCCCCATGCGCGGCGCAGATTATTTTTCACAGAGAGTGTTTCTGCCGGGTAGGAGCTGTATATCCAATCCGCGGCCACATACACGGGTTGGTCTCCCCGAGCCCCCCTAGCCACCTCTCCTGCGGTGCTCGCCTTCGATTATTAACGCGAGAACTGTGCAGCACTCTATTCCTTGAATATTACTTCGCATGGGGATTACCAAGACAAACGCCAATCGGTGTTTCGCGAATGGCCGGAACACCGATGCTCGTCTTCGAAATGTGTGTCCCTGGTGTGTAGGATCGTACAAACAGTCGACCCCGCTTTAAGGATGCTCGCGTTGAGGAAGCTCCCCGCTTGGCTTGAAGGAAACTTGTTACACGGGGGGCCAACAGAACATACGATAAGGGGGTAACCCCATTTTTTCTGCCGCGTACCCCCCCCTTTTTGTGTCCTGCGGGCCTGCGGGCCGCTCTTTGCACCCACCACGCACCACATTGAGTGCAGAAGTAGCGACGCAGAGACAGCAGAAGTAGCGAGCGGTCTGCTGCTGCAGCTGCAACTGGATGTTGGTATGGATAGATTCCTCCCATCTACCGGCGATCCATCCGATGCCGCCAAAAAACGAGTCGTGCATAACCTCGTCCCTCACCGAGGGCGAGGTTTAACGATCCTACAGATAGCCCCCACAGTTAAGAAACGTCGAAATCGGTTCGAGCCTCACCAACCCCTTCTTTTGGGTCGAAGTACCGGCCCAAGTCGTCCATTTCGTAAATGGCATTTCTTCTTCCTTTGGACTGCTATCGCATCCTCCCGATTCTCTTGTTCCTTAGACTACAAACAACTACTTCGAATTTTCTTTTTTCTGTCTTTTGATCTCTGAGGACAATCTACATCATCAAGCCTTCAAGAGAGGTGGTGGAGAAAGCCATCAAACCCGTACAACAGCAGAGAGCATATGGTTGTCCGCGATATGTGGCAGTACTACAGTACTGTGAACAGCAGGGGCGCGGAGAGGGGGGGGGGGGGGGGGTCTCTGCCCCCTACAAAAAAAAATGCACTTCTGTTCAGCTTGGGAGGGGGTTGGGGGCACCGCAGATTTCTGATGTCATGGGGGTATCGCACCATCAAGTTTCTTATTGGGGCGATTTTTACGTTGTGGCCGAGATTGAGCTATTTTTCTCATCCCTTTCTTCTGGGAACAAAGGCACACAGTCACGCGAGACACGCAACTCACGGGGTCCGACATCATGGCCTTGAGAACATTTCACCTCACCGACACTGACGCCTTTGTTGGTCAGCCCGCTAGCGCGGTGGACGCTACAGAACAAAGGCACACAGCCACGCAAGAAAATACGCAAGTCCCTCGGCCGGGGTTTCGGAACGGACTTTACGTCTTCCGTCCACCCAACAAGAACCCGGTGGCTAGGAGGTACATCTCTCCGGAACCGGAGCGGGAAGCGGGGGGCTTGACTACCTTCACCCTTTCAAACAGCCTCTCGGCTTCTTCCTTCACCTCCCGCTCGTCCCTCCCGGCGAAGAACTTTCCCAGGAACGTTCCTCCGCGCGCCAGTAGCCCTGGCCCTTCTCCCTCAATCCCCCCCCACTCATCTCTCCCTCCAACCGCGTGTTTGCGTGATGAAGACACGGGTGTTTCTGCAGCGGTACCGCCGTTGCTCGACACTCCCACGTCCGAAGACAAGGTTCCTCCGGTAGTAGCCCCCACCTCGTTTCCCTCCTCCCGTCGCATTCGCGCAGCTTTTTCCCCTCCAGCAACATCTCCACCAAGACGAACAGCACCGCTCCCTTCTCCTCCGCCCAGCGGGTCGACGGAATTCCGCCCCCGCTCTCCCGCCCCTTTTCTCGGCGGCTCACTCCGCCTCGACGCCTCATCCCCTAGGCACGCCGCTAGGGCGTCAAGTACAAGCGCCGCGACCCTCCCTTGGTCCGTGTCTCGATCTCCGGAGAACGACGGTGCCATGTCCGACAGCACGACGCTGGCACGGGTCGGCGGCGGCGGGTCACGACGACGGGGGGGGGGTTGCAGCTGGGGGCGTTTCCCGGCGGCGGCGGGGGCGTCCCCGTGGCGGTGATCAGGTGGCGGTGGCAGCCCGTCGGCCGCGTTTCTCTTCGCCGCCGCCGTCGCGGGGTCTCGGTTTCCTCCTCCCGCGAGGAACAAGTGTTCGAGGCTGTCCGTCGAAGGCTGCTCGGGCCGCGGGAGCAGCGTCCTAGAGGCCGACGTTCCCCGCAGAAGAAACGCATCCTCCTCGCCAACGCCGTCGCTAGCGCTACCATCGTCGACGCCGTAACCATCGCTGCTGCGAAGCTTCGTGTCGTCGCGACGAAGATCGGCTCGTTCTTTTCCGCTCTCCGCCGCCGTGACCTCGGGTGGTTGCAGGGGTAACACCCGCTGCTCGTCCAGCTTCGGACGCTCGTTTCCGGGCGCCGGTTGTAGCCGCTCCCTCGCCGACAATAGGCTAAAGATCCTCGACTCGACCTCTGCGTCACGAAAGTCTCCGCGGATCGCCTGAGACGCATTAACCACATATTATTTCGTTGACGATGGGCGAAAGGGTGTTACAAGTGGCGTGGCGTTGGTTGGTCGAAGGGCGGGTTTCCTTGTGTGCGTGGGTCGGCAAAGCTGTCCAAGGGTAATGGTTACATGAGGTTGTAAGTTATCGTCATGTCCGGTGTTGTTTTGTGAACGTTCCACCTCGAAACCTTCCGGACGATCTCCTGGACGAAAATCAATGCAAATGTTGTTGACATGCCGACGGGCGGGGACGCGACAAACTCGGGGCGCGAAACAACGTTCAAGCTTCGTCGCAAGAAAAAGAGCCCCATAAACAAAAAAACGCCTTCTCGTAAGCACAACAGGCGGCAGTGCCCACGGCAGTCCTGCAACCTCAAGAAAGCTCATGTACGACGGCAACCTTCAGAGAGCCCCCGTACCCATCAATCTCTCCTTTACCTGTACCCCAGGCAAGTCCGCCTCCATGTCAAGCAAATCCACTGCCACCACCACCGCCTCCCCCCCACGCCTGCCTTTTCTCTCCGCCGCCTCGAGACGCCCCTCGGGAAGGGGCGGCGGCAGCGCCGGGGGCGCCCCCCCCCCCCCCCCCCC